GCTCAGCGTTAAATGGCTGAAGACAAAAGGCCAAATCCTTTTTTGGAGCCTCTCAGTTGGACATCATTGATTAGTGCTGGCACCAGTTCAACATTTTGAATCAGACAGAAAGCAAAAGTAACTAAAAGCCTAGCAAGAGGCTAATGCAGTCTGCAAGCACTTATTGTTACGGCAACTTTGAACAGCCAAGGTTGTTAGCGCACCTTTGATAAAATAATCAAGCACAGAAATGTTATTGTTCAAACTGTATTACTCAGAGAGACATCATTATGTATTAGACACATTAGTTACAGAGTCCATTTTCTGTAGCTGTTTTCTCACTTAAGAGAAGAACTGTGGCCACTGTTGCTGCAGGGATGATTACTTTATTCCACCATGTTCAGCAGCCAGTCTCCAACTGTGTCTCCCTGTGGTTCGATGCTGGACCACTGTGGTGCAGCGAGTTTTTTTTAACAATGGCTCTAGTCAGCTCCCTGCTGCTGCCAAAAATACCGCTGATTAACAAAATGTCTCAGTTCAATTCAGTTTGATTTATATAGCAGCAATTCACAATATTAGTCATCTTAAGACATTACGCATAGGTGAAGCCCTCACAAAATTATGTTATCGAGAGAAACCCAATGAAGCCAAATGTTCCCTATAAGCAAGCTGGTTGGCGACAGTGGAAAGCAAAAAAACTGCCCTCCACCTCCGGCACAACCAGGCTCAGGGGGTGCAGTCGCCTGCCTCAACCAGCTGGGGTGAGGGGAGAGGGCAGCGAGAGAACAGGAGGGTAGACAGGACTGAGACCCATCAACACATTGGAAATCAATAAACGCTGGGAAAGTCTGTGAGGCCAGTAACTGCAGGTCAGAAACATATAGCTCTGCAGCCCGAGAAACCTGCAGAGACAACAAAACAGAAGCTACAGGAGAGAGAAGACACAAAGTTGTGAGGTTGCTAGTAAAATGTATTAAAAGAGAGAGGATAGGTGCTCAGTGCATCATGGAAAGTCCTCCAGCAGTCTTGGCCTGTAGCAGCATAACTACAGGTTACGGGTCCCCTGAGCCAGTTGGAACTATAAGTTTTATCAAAAAGGAAAGCTATATATATATATATGTGTGTGTGTGTGTGTGTGTATGTATGTATATGTTTATATAGTTGTATATCACCGTTACATATGACTAACTCTGTGACTCCCCCCGAGGTTCTCCTGCGCCTGCTCTCTCTGTGGATGTCTCTGGATTTGGAGCTCCTGAATTACAGACGCTGGCCTCACCTTCTGCATCCTGCTGCCCCCACCATGATGCCTCCTGTTACAAAAGGACAATAACTTCTACTAACTTGTTTAACTGTAAACTAAATTTTATAATTCATCCTACATCCATCCAACCGGTCGAGGCAGATGGCCGTCCCTCCCTGAACCTGGTTCTGTCGTAGGTTTTTTTGCCCCGTGGGGGTTTTCGGTTCCTTCCCACTGTTGCGGACTGCTTTTGGACTGCTGAAGCTTATAGGGAATCCAGATGTTTTGGATTGTTGGGTGTTTCTGTCTCTGCCTTTGTGAAGCGCTATGAGATGACTTGTTGTTGTAAATATGCGCTATACAAATAAAATTGAATTGAATTGAATTGAATTGAACTGTATTAAATGTCCACACTCCATTTCTCTAAAATGCATTACGTTATGTATCAGTTATTGTTCTATCAGCACCTTTTATTGTCCTACAAAAAGAATAAAGACTAAACCTTCAACGCAGATGTTTAGAACCAAATTTAATTGTGCTTATTTAATATATTTTGTGTTGTAGATTATAGGGCTGTTATGATGGTAAGACTTTACAAAGGACAACCAAATATTACCATAAACATGTGTTTAAAAACAAAGATACACTGAAAAACGCATTGACAACCTTTCACATACCTGAAACATTATATTTAATTGAGATGAAATTGCAAAGATGTTATTTCATTATGTTATTTCTAGGAAAAAATTTAATTAAGCAAACAATTCATTAGTTGTGGGGAGAAATATCAAGCAATATACAGTTTTCCTTTTACAGAACACATGTACAAACACACACAAGCATATGTACACATTCTACAGTTTTTACCTTAGACATAAAATGAGTTTATTTTTTACAAAAAAAACACTGGCAACAGTATACTTTCAGCATGTTTCATTTTCCTTCTTACTGCATGAATGCATCAGTGTTGTTAGGCAGCACAATAACATTACACCTTCAAAACTGAACACATGTAACATATTTTTCACACACAAAATTCTTTATTTTCATCTGTGATTGTTATGACAAAATGGCTTAAAATTACCATTTAATCAATGCACATTTTTCCAACTTATGTGTGCTTCGATGGCATACTCACTGTATGGTCAAGATGGTGTTCACACATGCTACATTTTGCAGCAACAATGAGTTGTGGTGAGAAAATGAATCAGAAAACTGGTGTGGACGCATCTATTGATCTTAATTACACAGTTTGCTTCCCTTCATTGTCAGAGTAAAGTAGCCACGTTCATTAAACTTTCAGAGACAACACGAATAAGGTCTGTAAATGCAAGAAAAATGTCAGTTCTGAAAGTATAAATAATTAATTTGTTCAGGTTTGCCTCTCTTACATTTTTCTTGTACAGACTGTTCTCTTTCTTGTTACTTTCTGCAAACACTGTAGGACATGTTGATGTGTCCCTGAGATATACACAAAAATTATAAAAATCTAAATATATGTATATCTATCTATCTATCTATCTATCTATCTATCTATCTATCTATCTATCTATCTATCTATCTATCTATCTATCTATCTATCTATCTATCTATNATCTATCTATCTATCTATCTATCTATCTATCTATCTATCTATCTATCTATCTATCTATCTATCTATCTATCTATCTATCTATCTATCTATCTATGTGTGTAGATATATATATGTGTGTGTGTGTGTATATGTAAATATGTGTGTGTGTGTGTGTGTGAAGAAATCTGTGAAGAGCTGTCACTTCGACAGGAAAGCAAAAAAAAAATTTAAATTGAATATTCAGAGCCATCTGAAGCCTCTGTTTATGACTTAAAGGGATGACTTTTCCATATGTTTACCTAGTTATTTTAAACTTTGGCCGCGTACAATATGACCATCCAACATTTTAGCAATATATATATCTATAAACCAGAAAACAAGGAAAGACAGAAGAGGTCCACTTTAAACGGCAAAAGCTGCGACAACAAAGACCACTCGAGTTTTTTGCATTGTCACACTGTACAGATCAAATAAAATTTTGGTCACACTGTGTAACTTCCACTGATGCACTTCAGACTGTGCAGTGAATACACAGTGAACTATAGCTCTGCCATTTGAATAAGAAAGAAGATGTGAGAGATCTTACATTTTATAAAATGCAGCAAAATAATAAATGAGCACATTCAGCACTATTTAATTTGTTCTTATTGGTTGTTTTGTAGACGTTAACCACAGCAGCAGCTACAATTGTGAAAATTTTACCCAGAATATCTCTGGTTCCCTAAAGATGGCCACTGAGGGACGTGTGTCACAGTGTAATCTATCGTTACATTTCATCATCTGTCTATTGCTGACAGCTTTAGTCTCAGACAACTGAAATTAACATAAAGAAGATAAATTAAACAGGTTGTTCTGGTATCGTGTGATTTAGTTTTCTTGCTCATATTCCATAAATACTCTAAATCAAAGACAAACAAACAAAAAAAAATATGGGCAACAGGACGCGCTTAAAGTGGCCTGCAGATAGATATGAAAATAATTTCATTCGCAGCAGGTTGGTATACCCACTGAGCATCTGTCCTCGTGTGCAGAATGGCAAAAGCAGGTTGTAAAGGAAAATCTTCTGTGAACTGATGATAGATTTTTTTGTCACAGTTTGCAAAAGATTCTTGGAAAGAATGAATGTTGTTGCTTCACTGCCACAGGCCTGTGCAGGCTGCTGGAAGAAAATACGCACACAGTTACCGTCATCACATAAACACTTGATGTTTCACAAGATTTCTTGGACAAAGGACACCATCATCAAAATGAATCAAATGAAAAAAGGACTAGCAACTGTCATTAGCATTTTTTTCTTTCCATTTTATTCACAAATGGATAATTCTCAGGCAGTTTAGTTTTTAATTGTTCATGCGTGGGTTGCCGCTTTAAAATTAGGTACAAAAATAAACAAATTACTCAATACTCTAATCTTGCATTTCTGTGTTTAACACTTGAGGTTTGACTGTACCATTAAGTGCATTTCTAAAACAACTCACATTATTTTTGATGAAAAATCCAATTCTAAAGCAACTACCTAAATATGAGCAATTAGACATTAAACTAATTATCCATTTGTGAGGTAAACAGAAATAAAAATATACAAAGGACAATGAAAGTTTTGAACTGCAAAGCATTAAGCACACCACACTGCACTGCACCCACACTGTGTCATAATGTCAGTGTTGCACATAATTAAAACTGTTTTGTAAACATGTTTCCATTGCTAACAACTAACTTTTAGTATTTTTGTCATAGAATTTTTAAAAGTCCTCAGAAGTGCTCAGAAAAAAAGATAATTGAACATGAATAGCTGGATCAATTCCATCTGCTGAGGAACATCATCAAAAGCTCCAAAAGCAGATGCTAAATGGACCGTATGATAAGAATGTTTTTATCTGTTTTTTAAAGGCTGAGTTCCAGACAAACACTGCATCCTAAAATAAACTAGAAAAAAGAAGTAAAAAAGCAATATGGAAAGAAAAAATCCAAATGCCACCATGGAGAAACAATTATGAGCTTCTAATAGAGAAACAGCAGCATATTTTCTGCAAATGAAAGTCATCACAAAAGCCTTCTCCTCTCCTTCTGCTGGTTTTAAAATCCTGTGTTGATCCCACTATGCATCTTTCCTGCCCTCTTTGGAAACATGATGATGTCCTGAAATGGATCACAAATCTCCAACGCTCATGTCTGTCCTCTTAGAACCGTAGCAGACGTCTCCAGTCAGCTCACAGCCACCATGGGCTCCACTGAGAGGATGTCGGTTCTCCCTGTGAGGGCCTGCCGGGCGGTGAAGAGCACGTGTGCGTCTTTCAGGTTGTGGGCCTGACTGGATGAAGCGTGGCTCTGCTGCGAGGAGGCCTGGCCCGGGTGGGATAAACCATGTCTGGGCCTCGAGGAGTCGCGGCCGTCTGGCCAGGCAGGTCTATGACAGGGAGCACAGGCAGCCGCAGGGCGAAGCTCCGGCTCCAACCCGACCACCACCCTCCGTTTCCTCCTGCACCTGTCAAACAGCAGCCGGAGCTCCTGGCGGAAGGTGGGATTTAGGCAGCAGTAGATGAAAGGGTTGTAGCAGGTGGAGCTCATCGCCAGCCAGTGAAAGCAGAAGTACAGGGCGTTGGAGGAGTGGATGGCCTGGCTTGACAGCAGCACCACGTAGCAGTTGAGGGGAAACCAGCAAACGGCAAACACACCAACAACTAGCAGCAGCATGGCCAATGTCCGCCGGCGCTTCTTTCTGTGGGTGGCGTGCTGAGCCGTCGTGGTGTCGCCGATGGCGTTGTGGCGCCACAGCCGACGGGCCACCGTGGTGTAGGAGGCGGTGATGATGAGGAGAGGCAGCATGTAAAGCAGTATGAAGGTCAGGAGGTCGATGTATTGCCAGTAGACATCCGACGGCTCTGGGAAGTCGGGGACACACAGGCTTCGCTCCTTCTCCTTACTTGGTGGGAAAAGTCAGCACAAAAGGAGGCAAGAAAGGAATATAGATCACAACAGGATGAAAAGGTGAGCAGGTCAGACTGAAGGGACAAGTTAGCGTAAAACTGAAAAACAATGATTTCCATGGTCATTTTCATTTCTTGAGTCAAAATGCCACAAAATAGGGAAATTATTATTTTGCCAAATGTGACATGTAAATTTTTTTTTTGTCCAACCAACGATCCAGATAACCTCCCAATTATATATAATGAAAGAACACTAAATCCTTATGTGTGAGCAGTTGAAGAAAGAGAATTTAGGGCTTTTTTTTTTTTGCCCGCAAACCTTCTTAAGTAATTAAAAAAACACTTACTGATTTATCATCTTGTGGTAAATTGATTAATTTACAGTTATTTATTGCTACAGATAAGTATATTCAGAAGACATAAATGGGAAGAATGTCTCAGACAACTTTACAATACGGTACACAATAATGTGAGTAGTTACTGATGGATCATTAGCTAATGATTATTGGTAGATAACCTTAAATCGGAACTGTGACCACATTCTTCACCAGAAACCCTTTATTACTAATTAATTCTTCAATGATTACCTGACAGTTTCTCTCTTTTTGTTCCCCCTGAAGTGAAGTCAAAAATAACTGAGTCTTTACTGGGGAGTTACAGCTACAGTTAGTTGCTTCATACCAAACAAAGTAAATTGTAATGAACAGTGTTGAAGACAACGCTTTCCTATAATTACACTAAAGTTGTATTTAGCACCGTACTGCTTTTCTTTTAAGGCAGTACAACCCAGTGACGCCTTGATTCTCCAACTGAGTTCAACATTTTTACTTTTCTGTGCTGTTTGGGTTGTTAATACAGTATTAAACAGCATTAAAGAAAGATCTTGTGTAGTCATCCTTATCGAAACAGAGATGTGTGCATATGTAAGGTTTACCATTATATTATTAGCTCACATTCACATACCAGTGAATTTCAGGTGTTGCTGCTTAGTAACTCAAAAGTAATCTAGAGAGTAGTGTAATGAGTTACCTTCTAAACGGGACATTAAAAAGTAATGCATTATTCTTTTAAACAGCAAGACGTTCACTGTCTAATTTGCTGAGACACTTTAATTGGTACAAAGTTTCTGTCTCTTTGAACCTTTTGGATGCACTTGTCCTTCTTCTACGTACCTGCCTCATGAAACAGATGTGCGAAGAGTTCCTTAGGTTTAAAAAGTAACAGGTAATATTACAACACTGGTAATGAATGAGCAGTCGATCAACTTATCAAGAAAGTGGTTTATGATATTTGACATCTGGCATATGTCCCCCGGTCTGTTCTCTAATGTAACATCATTATCTACCAAATAGGCCTCTGCACTAGTGATTCCTTAATTATCAGGTTGTCAGTGATTCACCACATTATTACCTTGTAAGTTTTACAAGTAAAGGTCAACTAGAATAAAAAATGTCAGGGTATCACAGTAAAGCCCCTTTCAGACAGGCACTGTTTTCAATTATTCTGATGGCATCTGAATGTGTTGGCTTCAAGCTTGAATGAACAGACCAGGGTGGTCGCTTTTCTGTTAAAGTCGTGAAGGCAATCTTACTGGGTCGGGAAGTCTAAACTGCATGCTGTCGCATTAACGCATTGGCATGTACAAGCAGCTGTAGTTTGAGTTGTGTGAAGCGATTTGGAGAGGGCTTTTTCCGCATCTCAGTGCCAATACTGGTCCATTAACATCACAGAGAGGCAAAGACCGAGTTTGCGTGCCAAGATCACGAAACACCTTTCAAATTCACTTTGCCTTACAACGTCACAACTGTTACGAACTAATATGTCCGTTAAAATGAAACTTTACTACGATGAAGACAGACTCTATAACAGTCAGTTTAATGAAACTCACCAATAATGAATGCAATCTAGGTTTTGATAAAACATTAACATGAAGTTTAGTTTGTTGCTTCCAGCCGTTTGTAGGAGTTTTCTCTCACTAATGCATTCAATACCTACAGCATCAAACAGCAATAAGGGTCTCCACAGAGAGACAGTTGCGCACAATAGGGCACGTGGAACAGCAGAAGCTTCATTATTTACTTATAATTATAAATTAACGTTGACATTGAGGTAGGATCGATCAGGTTCTAACATAAAGTCACACTGTGTAGTTTTCTTTACTTCAACACAGTCAGTCCATAAGATACTGTAAACTCATTTGTTAGCAGATTTACATGTAGTCTTTTGTTTATTAGAGCATTTTTACACAACATGTCACTTGAGGTACTGTACAGTCCTATGTGTATGACATCGCTGTCCTAAGTATGTGAGGAACGCAAATGGATTGTTTGAATGACAGAACCCTTTCACTTTAATAGACTGATGAAGGCAGCCATGTTGCATATCTGATGTCTGAAAAGGGCTTTTGTATGGTAGGTTTGTGCAGCTAAATAATGCCCCAAGACTAAAAGTGACATGTTTATATTGAAATGTCAAGCCTCTTGTTACTTGGGAACAAAGGCTTCATTCATTTCTAAACCTTAATAATAATAACAATACGTTCTATTTGTAAGCGCCTTTCAGAGCACTCAAGGACGCTTTACAAGAAGAGTAAAAACAACAAATGACAGCAAAACAGCTGATAAAAACAACACAAAAGAAACTAAGGTGGACAAGTAAATTACAGGGAGAAGGCAGTTCTAAACAGCTGGGTTTTGATCCCATTTGGATTTGAAGAGAGGCAGTGAATTGGTATTACGGATATCTGATGGCAGCGAATTCCAGAGTTGGGGGGCAGAATGGGAGATGAGGTGGATGGAGGAAGATGATCTAAGGGAGCGGAGGGGGGTGGCGATGTGGATGAGCTCTGACAGATAGGGAGGGGCGAGGTTGTGGATGGCTTTAAATGTGTACAGAAGGATTTTGAAATTGATTTGGAACTGGACCGGGAGCCAGCGAAGTTCTTGGCGGACTGGGGTGATGTGGTGAGAGGAGAGGGTTTTGGAGATAATGTGTGCAGCAGAGTTCTGAACAAATGGAAGTGTATGGATGGATTTGTGAGGGAGACCAAAGAGGAGTGAGTTACAGTCATCGACGCAGGAGGTGACAAGGCTGTGGACAAGGATGGAGGTAGTGTGGGGGGTGGGGGAGGGGCAGAGACAGTTGATATGGCAAAGGTGGAAATATGCAGACTGAGTGATGACATTGATGTGGGACAGAAATTAAAGTGAACTGTCGAGGATGACACCCAGATTCTTGACCTGGGCGGAGGGGATATAGAGGAGCTGTCAATTTTCAGGGAGAAAATGGTAGCTTTGGATGAAGTGGAATTGGTGCCAATGAGGAGAAATTGAGGATGCAATTTCAGAGAGGCAGGAGGTAAGGGAGGAGGGCAGGAGTGTGGAAATGTGTTCGGTGGAGAGGTAGAGCTGGGTGTCATCCACGAAGCAGTGAAAATGGATATTGAATTTACGGAAAATATTGCCAAGGGAAAGGAGGTAAATGACAGAGAGGAGGGGCACCAGGACAGAGCCCTGAGGCACACCAGAAGTAACGGGGGAGAGGTGGGAGGTGAAGGACTTAAGCTGGATGAACTGAGTGTGGACAGAGAGGTAAGAGCGGAACCTGTTAAGGGGTGTATGAGTAATGCCAATGGAGGATAATCTATGGAGGAGGATAGAGTGGGAGATGGTATCAAAGGCTGTACTCAGGTCAAGCCGGATGAGTATGGAGAGTAACCCAGAATCCGCTGCCATCAGAAGGTCGTTTGTGATTTTAATGAGAGCTGTCTCAGTACTGTGACGGGGACGGAAGCTAGGCTGAAACTGTTCATAGAGTGAGTTATGAGTTTGGTGGTTGTGAAGTTGAGTGACAACAGTTTTTTCAAGTACAGTCGTGACTTGATAATCCAACACTAAATGTAATACCTTCGTTTATGTCGGCTAGCAAGGCTGTCGGATTGTCAAGACGGAGGTCAAGATACAAGGAGGGCTTGATGCTTGAAGGGTAATTTGTAGTTAATATTGTTTATAGTTGTTATAATAAACTATCTACGTATATGATATTGTTATGATTTACATGAAACAAATTAAACTTGGTCGATGCAATTTTACGTATGATGTCTGGCGTGTAACAGCATCGAAGCAATTTGTTTCTATGATTGATAAGCCCGATACAACCGCAGTATATACAGGTTCATAGAATTGTTACGGTGTCAAAACATGTCACATTGTTTAATACTTCAAAGAACTTCAAAGCACCAAACCGATCCTTCCTGTGTTCCACACATGTAGAGTTGTTAACTAACAAACTGATGCAAACCAACTTAATTAGTTGGGCAAATTCACTCAATGAGTGGGACTTGTGTATTGTTAGAACACTATGCATCGCTGGATTTCACGCCAAACTGACCCATGCGCTTGTGCATGGGCCCGTCGGTTGACATCAAAGGTAAGTAAATCCGTCGGCTTGTAAAATTAATACGCCATTATTCTTATTTATGTAATAAAATGTCATGTCGGAGTCGGCATCCATCCATCCATCCATTATCTATACACCGCTTAATCCTCACTAGGGTCGCGGGGGCGCTGGAGCCTATCCCAGCTGACTTAGAGCGAAGGCAGGGGACACCCTGGACAGGTCGCCAGTCCATCGCAGGGCCACACTTAGAGACAGACAACCAAGCACACTCACATTCACACCTACGGACAATTTAGAATCACCAATAACCTCAACACGGCTTTGAACTGTGCGGGAGGAAGCCTTAAAACCCGGAGAGAACCCACGCTGCATGTGAACATGTGGTGAAGACACCCGGGATGTTTTTGTGCAGAAAGATCCCGGGTATCTTCACCAGGATGCGAATCGGCAACCTTCTAGCCGCAAGGCAACAGTGCTAACCACCGAGCCACCTTACAGCCCCAGCTGTCGGTATGTTAAGGCTATTTTTTATAGGTCCCGTTGGTTTTTCCTGAAAACCTGTCATTTTTTGGAAAAGGTTTTCGGAATGTTAAGGGTTGGAATGTCAAGTCATGACTGTATTTTGCAGATGAACGGTAGGTGGGAGACCCCCTGTTTGCTATTGTATCCGTAACAAAAAAGGATCAATAACCTTAAAAAAAACTCAAAATGCTATCTTTTCCTACCCAACAGGTGTTTTTATCTTAGCCTAACCTCAACAAAACTCATCCGATTTAGTCTTACAGAGCCAGGCCATGCTCTAGCACTGACACGGTGTAAAATAGTCTGGCAGCACCATAGACTGTATAAAAGATGGACGTAGCAACCGGCCTTGAAAAATGAAGCCAACCCGGAAGTGTCAAAAACCTGCAATGTCACTCTGTCTGCTTGTTGCTGGCTCCAAAAAGCCCTGGCTCCCATAGACATGAATTGGAAAAGAAGTAATCACAGATCACGAAATACCGCATTCCTACAGCTCAGGGTTTTTTCTTTTAGTTTTCATAGTCAAATTCAGAGATCAGGTGGCCAATCTGAAAATAAATCAATGCTGAATTTTTTAAAAATTGTCAAAATTTTGCGGAGCAAGGGGCGTGGCTGGCTTGATTGACAGTCGGCAGCTACGATGCAGATGAAGAAGCAGACCGCAGAAGGCGGTAAATGTGGGCGGGCAGAGAGGGCCTGCCTCTCAATCCGTCTGACCCATCGCTGCTCCTATGGTTCCGCCCCCTCCGACAATTTTTGCGTCACTGGCTCCAAAAATCCAAGATGTCAACCAGGAAGCAGCAAAACCCTGGCTTCATTTTCTCAGTGCAGAAACCAACGGGTGACGTCACGGTAGCTACGTCCATCTTTTTTGACAGTCTATGGGCAGTACCTCATTTTCAACCTGCTATATCTGAGAGAGGCTCTAGCTTGTTTGTTTGGTTTTTTTTTTTAAAACCAATCACAATCATCTTGGGTAGTGCTAAGCCCAGGATGCAGTGATGGTGTCTCCTAAAACTAGTGGTGGGGGAACTGTTTCACTGTAACATTTGCATACAGGGAGGCGAGCACTGTCATTCAAATGGCTAAAAAAAAAAAGAAACTATTAGTGCTGCCTTACTGCAAGGTCCAAACCTTGGGCAAAACTTGATATTTTTAGTGTGGTAGGTTGCTGCCCTGAGGTTGTTGTTTCCTATTGTGAAGGGGATTTTGAAAAAGGTAACAGAGATAGCAGAAGGCCGGCTTATACCCTCAGTCTACATTTGGTGAGTCAGACTAGTCCACGCTTAAAGAAGAAGTCCGTCTCTGCAGCTAACCTCATTAAATACCTCTGCTTATTGACATGTATGACAGTGTATTATTTTACCTGTATGTAAACGTCAGGAGTTTTTGGTAGATTGCGTGTGGGAGGGAGAAACAGCTGGCCATTATCCAGATAAAAGTGACCCAAACACCACCTTGCGCTGGAGACATGCGAGGTCTCAAAGGGTGCAAAATCACCTGAGGAAAAAAAAAGCACAGCATGCAGATCAGGCGCACACGCACACACACACACACAATCAATATCAGTCATCTGTGTCTTACATGGAATAGTATTACTCAGGCCAATTTGAGAAGCAGAGGGAAAGATTAGAATGGGTTGTTTACTGAAAATACCTTTAAATTACAGCTGCAGCCACGAGATAACAGTGTGCTACTTCTTTATACTACATTTATTAGTCTCCAGCTGTTTTTTTTTTTCTGCACTGTATTACAAGCCACTTGTACTCTGGTACATAAAATGACAAAATGCCAGAAGAAAAAAGGCTTCACGTGTTTGTTCACTGTGAATGTGAGTTGTATTTAGTGATGAGGAGCAGTGTTAAAGGGAATACACAATGTCCCTGCTACACTGACTGTACAGACAAATCATACAAAGTTCCTTTGAGTGCAGTGAGGTGCAAAGATTCTATTTTGTTACTGTGCCTTCTCCACCATTAAAGGCATCAGATTAAATGTTTTTAAAGCATTTTTCTTCTGCAAAATACTCTTACTTGTCTCGTGTTGCATTTTTTTTCTTCAGAGATTATACTTAGTTCTGGGCTGTAAGGTGGCTCGGTGGTTAGCACTGTTGCCTCGCAGCAAGAAGGTTGCCAGTTCGCGTCCCAGTGAGGACACCCTGGATCTTTCTGCGTGGAGTCTCCATGTTCTCCCCGTGCAGCGTGGGTTCTCTCCGGGTTCTTTGACTTCCTCCCACAGTGCAGAAACATGTTGAGGTTAATTGGTGATTCTAAATTGTCCATAAGTGTGAATGTGAGTGTGCTTGGTTGTCTGTCTCTAAGTGTAGCCCTGTGATAGACTGGCAGCCTGTCCAGGATGTCCCCTGCCTTCGCCCTAAGTCAGTGGGGATAGGCTCCAGCCCCCCTGCGACCCTAGTGAGGATTAAGCAGTGTATAGATGATGGATGGATATTTAGTTCTGGTTTTAGCTTCAACACTTCATGTTTGAATATTTTTTTAAAATCTGGTTTTAAGATACCTTCATGTTTTTCTGGATGCAAATAAAAAAAAGGGGTGAAGGTTGTGCATAAATGGTGTATGTGGACAGATATGGCATGTATGTAGTTTCTGAGAGTAATAGCGCAGCGTCTTTATTTTTTTTTCCCTACTACATTACAGTGCGATGCTTTTAAATTTTAACTGCTTCTTCGACTTAGTAGTTTGGTAAACAAGAATGTTCAAAATTGTATAAATGAACTGTGTTTTGCAAGAACAGTGGCTTCACAATATTTAACCCTGCTTCTGTTGCTATACATTAGTCAATAGCGGAAAAAGAAAAAAGTAAAAATTTTCATAGTTTTTTTTTTAATTGTTTACAATATAGAATAAAACTGAAGAAGAAGCAACATGTGTTTTAAATATTAGTTTCTCCAACGATGCCACCTTTTGCTTTGCACACTCTTCATTCTCAACCAACTTCATGAGCTCTTGTGTCACCTGCAAATTTTTTCAGTCTTGAAGGAGTTCCCACAAACACTGAGGCACGTTTTGGTTGCTTTTTCTTCAGTCTTTAGTTCAACTCATCCCAAACTCTCTCATTTGGGTGATTGTGAAGGTCAGATCATCTGGTCAAGTAACTATTGAAGAAGTTGAAGGTGTGTTTTGGGTCACTGTCCTGTTGAAAAACATATGATGATCCTGCTGAAGTCAAACAAGATGGAAACACCAAAGTCATCCCCACCATCACACCTCCTTCTCCTTGATGCCTCACGATGGGAACCACACATGCACATACAGTCACCTTCTCTGCATTTCACAAAGAAATTATGACTGCAACCACAAAAATCTCACATTTTGATCGACAGATTAAATCACAGATTTCATCTCATCTTCGATCCATTCTTTGTGTTTCTTGAATTGAGCCTTTGTCTTCCTCTTTCCTTCAGAAGTGTTTTCTTTACAGCATTTCAACCACGAAGGTCGGATTCTCACAGCTTCCTTCTGAAGGTTCATGTTGAGATGTCGTTGAACTCGGCGAAGCATAAATGTTGACGATCACCAAAAGTGTTGATAATTGCTGATTACTAAGGCTGGCAACTCTAGCAGGGGCAAGTGAGACGTTCTTCATGGAAGCCGTTCGTTACTTGAAGAAACTTTTTTTTAGTTTTTTTTCCTGAATTGTCTGACCTTCATGACTATATTTAATGCTGCTTTTCTTTAACGAGTAGATTCTTCCAAAACTATGAACAGTAGCTGAATAGGACTATTTGCTGTGTAGTCACAGTACCTCAGCACAAGTTATTGTCTGAAATGCAATAAAAAGGCATGAAATTCCAAAGCTTCAAGCTCAGATAAAGGTCATTGACCTTCTGAAGCTGATTCAGATGCTTCCAATGTGCAAAGCTGTCATCAAAACAGCTGCTACTTTGAAGAACAGAAATATGAAAGATATATAGCTCTTCATTTGTGTTATTTTATCATTTTGGATGTGTTGGGTTTTACTTTACAATGTAGGAAAGTTATTTTCAAAACTATTTTTAAAAAGCCTTTAAATGAGGAGGTGTGCTAAGAATTTTGTCTGCTTTATGCCAAGCTGCTTAGATTGGACCTGCTATTGATAAAAAAGAAAAAGGTGTAATAATAAGTGAAACAAACTTTGTTACTTGAAAAAGAAAACAAAATTGGGACTTCTACATTCTCTATTCATGTAATTGTATTAAATAAAAAATAAGATTGATCAGATTCTCCAAAGGTTACGACTCATTTCATTAAGCTGAATAGTATAGTTATATTTGGAGTCTCTCTGGCATCGGAGATGAAATATGGAGCATCACGATTCAGAGCACAAAAAATCTTTCAAAGTAATAACCACCGGCAGCATAAGTCACATGAGTCATCAGTCCAGTTATTAGCGATGTGAACAGAGGTTGTTGAGAAGCTGTGTCCATAAATTTATGGTGTGGATGGACAATTCAGAGAAGTGGAAGAAGTACCTGTTGATTCAGTGAAATGCTTTTGTAAACTAATGCATCACAGATTATAAATCATTTTGAAACTCTGGCATTACAGAAAGATATTAACAATCAGCCAAACCTGACTAAGACAATAAGTAATTAGTGTCTATTCTGCCTCACCAGCTGCTTCATCATCTGCTAATTTCTCACAAGTAGATTGCGTCTTTTTCCAGATTCATGCAGCACCAGGCAGTCAAATGTCTCCATTATAGGCAGCATATGAATTAGTTTTTTTTTTTTTTTTTTAGAAGCTTTTTAATTCATGGGTGCATTAGCAGCCAAATAAAGACCTGCATCAACAGCTTTTCACTTTAAACCAATCCTCCCATCCTTTCCATGGTTATCACCTCTGTAATGTGCATTTGCATACCACGATGGATGACTATGTATTCATTGGACTTTCATAAGATCACACTATGTTCATTTAAATGCATTACTGTTCACTTCAATAACCAAACAGCTGGAGCAATTCGGTTTCACGGCTATAAACTGGCAGAGTCTGTCATAAACGAAGCCACATAATCACAACAGCGTAACATCACAAGTTCACATATTGCAAGGTACAGTTATGTGGACTGATTGATCCGAAATGATTTTTCTTGACTTACCAACAACTGTTTTTTGCATCCGAGCAGTCAGGGCGGCTGTTACAGACTGTTATGAATACCATGTAGACGCAGAGCAGGAGGTGTTATCTCATTATGAATTACTTAAGCTTAAGTAAAAAAAAAATACATCTTTGCAGGGCTTTTTGATAATGTGGTCGGCGTTGAGGTCTCATTTGAATGCACTGCAGAAATTTAATAAGGTAGTAGAGATTGTAGGATTGTAATTGATGACGGGGGTCAGTGATATGTTACATTTAGGGGATTTCGAGCTGCAGGTTGTTGTCTGTATCAAGTAACCGTTTGCCGAAGCTGCTCAAAGTTTCAGCCTTAAAATGGTCGTGTCATCTGCATACTTGCAGATGTTAACAGAGCTGTCCTGGGATGTCAGTTGGTTGGTTTATACACAGAAAAGTGAAAGAGAAAGTGCTTCGTTCACCTTAACTGACTGTTCCCAAGAGGCTGCAGATGATGTTTAACTGATAAAAGCAGAGCTGAAGTCTATGATGAAAATTCAGATGCACAAGTGACTCCCAAGTGTTTCAGTGCGCGATCAATGGCTACTGCAGATCAGTGGGCTTTGTGTAAACACCGGAAGAGGTCCATTAGTGGGCTGAACAGGCTTTCAAGTAAGATAGGATGAAATCGTTGAATGTCTCAATGGCCATGGATTTCATCAAGGTTACAGGACTGAAAATAGATTTGGTGAAGCTGTAAGCTATAATGCACATGGAGAAGCTATACAGACTGAAGAGCATGACGGCCAGTTCAGCAGAACAATGCAGGAGTACAGCCAGGCTGAGTCTGCCTTTCGATTTAGACATTTGTGTGAAGGTGGCCGTTGCAGTCACTGGACGTAAAATGGAAGTAGGAACACAGATGAAGGAGACGGCGGTGGCAAGGAGTTCATTGCCTCTGCTTCGGGTGAGTGTGTGGCTTTTTGGTAGTCGAGAGTTTTTTCCACATGGTTCTCGTGTCATTAGTTGTAAATATGAGAAGCGATTCCACAAGTTGGTTTTCTAAGTGGTTTTGCCCACAGCAACATTCAGTGCTAAAATTCGTCACAGTCACAGTCCGTATTTCTTACCTTTAACTGATAGTCAATGTAAGTTAAAATGATTTGAGATAAAACAGAAAGTAAATTGAAGAGCTTTGAGTTGACTGCGCTGACAGTCACTGGTACACCCACATCTCTGATATCAGGGCATGCTTGAAATACTCTTTTATTAAAGCATAAATCTGCCTTCAAATTCAGTACCAGGATCAGCCTTGGCAGGCGCACAAAGTCACATTGTCTCATAAAACCTATACCGATTCTGAGCAGGTTTTTGAAAAAGGTAAAAAAAAAAAAAAAAAACCTCAGTGATACTCAAAACACAGAGTACACTTGCACACTCAAATAATCTTAATACTGCTCAAAGAAAGTGGAGAAGTAGTGGTTTGTGGTGCAAAAGTTTCAGGGATTCATCAGGAAAAAAATAATGTAGCTGTACCTTTGTATGGGTGGTGACATTTTAAATTACATCTTCTCTGTTAGTTGAATTCACTGAGCAGTTTTCTGAGCACTGTTAAGGATTTACCAATGTGGCAGAGATGGGGGTTTTTTTTTTCCTTTAGAACATGTTATTTTTCCTCCAACTGAAGGCATTAATGTAACTTGTGGTTCTGAGGTTATATCAGGCAAGGTAACATTTTTTCTGTAAGCTCAGAGTGCTCACACAGTTGCAACAGCTTATGTTTATGAAAGTCATTTGACAAAAATACACAAAGGTGCTCTGTGCTTATGTTGCACTGCTCAACCATTAGTGTAACTGACAGGGATGCAAATAAGTAAGCGGTTAAAAAATAACCGACCATTATGGGGTAAAACAAACATACATTAAACATATGAAAGAAATATCTAACATGGATTAATCTATCAGATTTACATCAGTGTAGTCTTACCTGTGACCTGTCCTTTTTTAGCTAATTGTCCTGGACTGACAAGGACTTTGCACTTTGACACAGAGAGAGGAATGTCTCAATTATCTTGTAAAATACTTGAATAGAGTGGAAAAATGCAGTCAGCTTTTAGTCCTTAAAGTAGAAACTCTGTGATGTGATTAAAACCTCTAGAGGATTAACAGCCACGAAATGGACTTTGAGTTGAGAGTACATTTTAAAACGCGAAAAAACTGTGCCATTCATGGATGCATTACTTCCCACAGTCCAAAGATGCGCTATAGTTCTGGAGATAAAAGCCATAAATCTGAGTTTTGGAGCACTTCAGCAGCTCCAAGACAAATTATGAATGTTCCACTGCAGAGTACTTAATAGTGCTGTTCATGTAGACTTTTATTTTCATACTTTTTTTTTCTTTCCCTATGTGAATTTTACATTAGTCTGATTCATGCAGAGAAACATCAGCAAATATGGTAGTAATTTTAGACATAGCTTTAAAACAAGGTTGCAGTTCATAACCTGCACAGTGCCCTTAGATAGCTTGCATTTAACTTGTATAAAAACAGCTACGATGAAAGGAGCAGAATGAAGGTGCCTCGCAGTTTCAATCGCTACCTTAAGATACAACAAGATAAAGCTGAAAAAAAGCTCCATTTATTTTCTACAGAAAAGGACACTATGATTAAGCATTTCAAAAGATTTCTGTTTACCAAGCTTGTGAGGATGCCTTTAAGAGACATAGACATCTGGTATAATGAGTCTTTATCCTATTCAATGGTCTACTGCAAAGGAAACCATAGTGGATGAGATCAGCCAACTGGGTTTATTTGTATGTATTTGTATGTGGCCACTTGTGGAGGTTGTTTCTAAGTTGCAACTAAAGACTTTGTAATTTCTCAATCAATGACTGATGCTTTGTCTGTTGGCAATGAAACCACACAGAGCAGAAATTAACTGGAAAGCTGTCAGAAAAGTCTCAGTCAAAGCCAACATTTTCATTCCAAAGAACAATCCACCTGCATTGTCTTGTGCTTTGTTTTTTTTTTTTTGTTTTTTTTTTTAAATCTCTGTGCTGCTCTAAGACAGCTTATATCATCAAGTTCACATAAAGGGATTCATTTGATTTCTTTTCCAAGCACGCAGCAAAATGTGCACAAAGCCAACCACGCCTGAGTTGATGCAATATCGAACATGTTGAGCCATCAGGAGGTAAGATGTGAAATCCTCTGCCGGCCGGCATTTCCAAAAGGCTGGTATTCCCATGACTCCTGCTTCTTTTGTTACTGTTCAACAGTCTGGATGATTGGCAGATGTCAATGGACACCTACTGTGTATATTCAATCTGGTCATGTAGATTTTTTTTTTTTTTTTTTAATTGTCTTGACATGAAGTTACTCAAGAAAGAAGTGATATTATTTTGCCTCTTTTAATCACTTTATCAGATACTATTTTTGTCTCATGAGATGCACACAAAACACACCACATTCACCCGACTCCAAGCATCATCTGATAACCTTAAAGACAAATTATCTTATTTTTTAATCTTCTCAAGATGGCAGGAAATTAGTGAGGGATTTTTCGGCTACCAGTGCAGCAAGAGGTTTCTGAGGTTTCTGTTCAGTTTGATGGATTTAGAAAAGTCATTTTGCTCACCCTCTTGAGGACTGAAGCAGCTGGGTCTGTAGTTTTTCGATTGCAAAATGAATCGAGTTTTTACAGAAACAAACTGAAGTGATTGTCTGATGATTTATCTTAGTTAAAGCAAAAAAATCTGGAGTACTACATTCCCTTAGTTTAACATTTCTGTCCTTGTAGATAGACAGCATCCAACAAGGGCCTAATAATGTTCTAATTTGGTTTAGATTACCTCAGTGCTACTCAATGTTGAGTTTATAGTAATTTTCTATCAGTATAAAAATACAGACTGTTTGAATTCATCGTATAAGTATAGACCCTTAACATATATTGCATTTAATTTTCTGCACAAGTTCAAACTGTCACCAACCCATCCATGAAGATGATCACACCAAAGCAGCAGTAAAGAAGGGCACGAATGGCCGTTTTCTTAAAGTTGTTGTGCATCATCTCAGGGAACACAAAGGTGCTCCAAAAGTCACTAACTGCTCTTTTTAACCAACTATCGAACTGAGAGGAGCATCAGTGCTTCCTCCCTTGAGTTAGACAAACCTGTCGGCGGTCCAGAGCGATGGCAGTGAGTGTGAGAGTGGAGACATGCAGGGAGCAGTACTGCACGAAGCGACTGATGTGGCACATTGTCCTCCCAAACACCCAGGTACTGTTCACGAAGCGCACCTACAAAAACACACACATATAGTGCAGGTCACGTACATGCATCGAATGTCCAACTTCAGCTCATCCAAGCATCAAGATAAGACAAATCAATGCCATAATGACTGGATGTTGTAAATGCGTTTGTTTCAGGCAGTGGTGTCTCCGTCGGTGGACCTGGAGGGGCCTGGGCCATCCCCGCAATCTCATTGAAAACCCCAGATCTAAAAGGTCAGATTCAATCAGTGAAGCTCTGATGTGTAGGTTTTGATGAAAGCACGCATGAAAACACAATTATATGACTGTAGCAGCAATGCTCAGCAGCTGGGAAAATCTAGTGCTAACGACAGTTTGCATGACTGAATTTGACAAACGTTCACACACAGATCTCTCTAAAATCACAGATGTTTCATGTATTCTTATCCTTGCCTTTGCACTACAATTTTGCATCTATTATGTACTAAAATTAATGTAAAAATACAATTTTACTGCAATGAAGAGAAAGGACACTCATCAATAATGTAATCCAGGTTTTGACAAAATGATAAGAGGAGCTGAAGTTCAGTTTGTGTCTTCCAGGTGTTTGTAGGAACACTGGGAGTTCATTTAAAACCTTCGGCATAACACAGCAGTGGTAACTTCATGAATTAACTATAATTATAAATGATCCCTGACACAGAGACAGAGTCGATCAGAATCTATCAGTAAGTCACACTGTGTACTTTTCTTCACATAGGACAGACGAGCACAGTCCATCAGCTGCATTTAAATCATTTGGTACACAGCTGAATCCTGAGCACAATCACAGGTCGATAATATTTTACTGTCAAAATTAGATCTGTTTAATACAATCAATATATTGTTCTGTGGTGTTTTTTTTTTTTTGTCACAAGGCAGTGACAATATTGTACACTGCAGATCACTGTAGCTGTAATCAACGAAGTAACAAAAATATGAAGACTGGTAGCCAAGCACCAGTGAAAGCACATTTTTATTGCAGCATAAAGTGTCGTAGGTAGATCAACTGTCATCACACATGGATGACTTGTATCCAAACACCCCACTGTGTCTCATTTCTTGGGCTGTTTTGTTCACTCTCATGACCAAAATGCTGCACCAGTCTTCGTCAATGGGCACCAGACGATAAGTAAAACTGTACAATAAGAAACCAAAGTGTGCAATTTGTTAAGATTTATACTGAACACAGTTTTCAACCAGCCTGTGTACAAGTGCAGAATAAATGACTGAAATTCACTTGTGGCTTTTGGTTTTTGGTCTACCACCCAAACATCTCCAATGGCCTCATTTTGCCCAAAATTTCAGGAGGTGGCCCTGATTTCAAGACACACACACACACACACACCTACACACACACACACCATAAGGACACACAGACAGACATAAGGGGGAAACCTGTGATGACACTACTGGCGCCATCTCGTGGCATTAACAGTCCTAATCCCACACTACATACTGCACTCATTCATCTCATTTTGGCATTGGCTGCAGTTCCCCATGATAAATCTAGTTTTATTGTGATTATTAACCATCTGTTTCAACAGTTTACCAGCCAACCTGTAACCAGTCTGGTCTAAACATTTGGGTTTTTTTTTTTGTTTAATGTGTAAAAGATACAGGTTTCCTGATGGACTGTAGAAGCTGAAGTAAACAGCATCCTGACAGTTTCCAAACCTGATCCAGACTTCAAGCTGATCTTACCAGAGTGAAAGGTGTGTTGAGGACCGTGATGAAGATGTCAGCCACGGCCAGGTTCAGAATGAACAAGCTGGTGGAGGACTGGGTGCTCTTGTTTTTGACCACCACATGGCACACCAGGGTGTTTCCGAACAGGGACACCACAATGATGAGCGAGTAGGCGGCCACCAGCAGCGCCTTCACGCCGCCCCGCTGCGACTCCCCGCCGCCGCTCTTCCTGCTGGCCAGGGAGCGCCAGTCCTCCAGCATCCCCTCGTCAAAGTCCAGGAGGAAGAAGCCGGAGGTCCGGTTCCCCAACTGTCCCGAAGCATTGAGTAAGCGCTCCGTGTAGGAAAACAAAGCCTCTCCCAGGAGTGCGGAGTCGTTGAGTCCCGCTGCCGGCCGGCCAGAGCTGCACATGCCGAGGACCAGAGACAAGCAGACAGCCGCCGCGTCTCTCATTTTACTTTGTTGGTGTGTGAGACCTCTGGACCTGCTGCTGCTGCTGCTGCACCGAGATGATGCGCACAGAGGATGCTGGAGCAACAAGTTGAGGTGCGACTCAGCAGAGGCTGCTTTTAAAGCCTCAGTGTGTGTCAGTGAAGGAGAGAGAGAGACTTTCCAGCTCAGACATAAATCTCTGTCTGCACTCTAAAAAAAATAATGTTTGGGCTCAAAATAGGAACAGAATTCCAAAGCAACAGTTTGCATCATTTGTGTGTGTGTGTGCGTGTGTTATGACAACTTGTAACTAAATTAAGTTCAACCAACACACTACATTGAGTTGGGGGGATTTAATCAAAGGTATTTTTAATTACCAGTCTGAAGTTGCACAGATGTGTTGTGTATGATAGTGAAGTGGACTGAAAATCCTGAACTCAGGGTGAAACATTTGACATCTTAATCAAGAAATAATTATGTGCTTTACTATTTTCTTTCTTTTTTTGTAAAACAGTAAATCTGAAAATTCATTGACAACAATAATTATCATATTTTAGCATTAAAAATATCGTTTTGGTTAAAAAGCTTTGTATTAACCATTACAGAAACATCCAAAATGATTTTGGTATTTACCAGTGCTGTTCATTTAGGGCAGCTGTGGCATCAACCTTACATTGGGTGGTGGTCTAACAAATTTGTTAAGCACTGTATATATATTAAATCGCTGTATCTACACACACACACACATACACACACGAACATACACACAATAGCTATTTATCTTTTCATGTCCATATTTCTTTATTTGGCATACCACAGTGAAGACTTTCCACAAATGTTTGTCCTCTCTGTTGATCAATGCGCTGTAAAAAATGAAGTCAAAAGGCAGGGGCACCAAAAAATTGAAAAAACCAAAACAAATGAAGCTTATCCCAGTTGACTCAGGGTGAAGACAGGGGACACCCAGTCTATCACAGGGCTCCTTACAGGTGCAACAGTCCACATTAAGTAACACTGTTTTCATCCTATGGCTCTTCCAGTGCAGCTGAACTGTTAACACTCTTTAACACTTTGTTTATTCTGTAGCCCTTCCAAGCCAATAACATCTCTTAGTCACCGTTTTTTCCCACCACACCTCTTCCAGTTTGCAACAGCATCATCTAACACTGTTTTCCTCTCCTTATAGCACTTCCGCTGCCACATCATCTCTTAACACTGTTTTTCTTCTCTACAGCTCTTCATAAATTTTGCTTCCATACAACCCAACAACAGAATGTAAAATGGCATTCTCTCCTTACAGCACTTCCAGATCAATCAACAAAATACAACACTGTTCTCTTACAACATCATGGTTAACACTGGTCTTTTCCCCCAATAATGTTTTTGACTGCAATAACAGAAATGTGGGTACAATATGCTCCATGAAATACGTGTACATATGTAAATTCATCAAGGCATATCTGTATATTTGTGTATGTAAACTCACAGTGTCATAGCTGTACTTATTCTTTTGTAAATACATGTATATATTCTTATTTGTCTTTTATACTTTACTTTTTGTACTTCTGCACCACTGGAGTTGTCTTTTAATTTCATTGTACCTTGTGTATGATGACAATAAAAAGCATTCTATTCTATTCTATTCTATTCTATTCTATTCTGTTCTATTCTATTCTATTCTATTCTATTCATATGTAAATTCACTATGTCATATACATATCTATATTTAGGTTCAGTCTCCAGCACTCAGATACAATACAGGAAGCACTGTGGTGCCAACAGAACTGGACATACTCTTAATTTATTCCCTAATTTTTCATTCAATCATCAGTAAGAAATTAGCCACAGAGGTGGGACAGATTTTTTGATTATTTCTCATTCTATTGTCCATTCACACATTAAAATTAGATTCTGTTAACTTCAAGTCTAAAGCACAGTAATTTATTTTACAAATTGCTCGTTAGATCAAGACTTGGCTTGAGTCGAGGTCACACTGCCCCATCCTTGGGTATCTTTTATGCAACACATGTAACAGAACACAGGCAGCTCAAGTGGTATAGAGCAGTTGTCCTCTAACCACAAGGTTGGTGGAGCGATCCCCACAATCAAAGGGTCCTTATATTTGGCTAGTTCCAAGGTAAAAGGGCAGAATATTGATGTTCAGTTTGTACCAAAGTAAGCCCTTCCTGTTTTTGATTGGCACATCTGAGTTACGGTTCCTCATTGCCAAATTACTTTGAGTATTTTTTTTGTCACAGTTCCCAAGGACATGAGTCTGTAATTTACATTTATTGACGCATAGTGCAATTATGAATGCTATAATAATCTCTATAATCTCTCTATATATGTATATGTCAGTTGCTCCTAATGGCAGGCAAGCGCCTTGCATAGAAGCTCTGTTGCCAATGGTGTATGAATGTGTATGTGAATGGGTGAATGAGAAAACATTGTAAAGCATTTTGAGTACCGCTAAGGTAGAAAGGCACTATATAAGTGCAGACCATTTACCGTTCACATTGTCATGAAGGTCAAAATACAGCTATTAACATGACTCAGACAGAAGTGGAATGTGTTGGATGACTGTCTTTCAGTGGAACCTGAAGAAGCATTGTTACACCTACTGAAGTCCTATTAACTGCTCACAGCTGACTGTGAATCAGATGAATTCCTCTGACTTTAATAAAGACCTGCAGCGTCACACAGCAGCAGCATGTGGCAGAATAGTGACAACTTCATTAACATAGATTCAGTCAGGATCTGACAGTAAATAATGTTCTTCTACACATCCCACAGGTCAGCTGTCCCACACAGTTTCCAGGTTAATACAGTGAAATTATTTTTGTCAAAGCATCTCCAGATGAGTGCTGCAAGGTGGGGCAGTTGGTAGCACCGTTGCCTCACAGCAAGAGGGTCGCCGGTTCGCGTCCTGGTGGGGGCACCGGGAGTGCGTGGAGTTTGCATGTTCTCCCCGTGCAGTGTGGGTTCTCTCCGGGTTCTCCGGCTTCCTCCCACAAGTCCAGAAACATATTGAGGTTAATTGGTGATTCTAAATTGTCCATAGGTGTGAATGTGAGTGTGCTTGGTTGTCTGTCTCTAAGTGTAGCCCTGTGATAGACTGGTGACCTGTCCAGGGTGTCCCCTGCCTTCGCCCTAAGTCAGCGGGGATAGGCTCCAGCCCCCCGCGACCCTAGTGAGGATTAAGCGGTGTATAGATAATGGATGGATGGATCTCTGGATGAATCCTGAGCTCCATCAGGACATTTTTATTCATTACGCATTAAATTATATTTCAGTATTTTAATTGTGCTGTCGGACTGAAGTTAAACTGGGGGTGAACTTTTTGGTAGCTCAAATTAACCTGGCTCCCCTCAGTGTCTGGCTGCAAACTGTGGCTTGGAACAACTGACTGGCAACAAATAGTGCAGGCTGCAGTGTGAAGGCCACCATTATAAAATTATTAGTCAAGTGGAAGTTTGCAAATATTGCTGGTTCCACATGGACATAAGGCATAAATAATAGACTGGTTCAAGATGAGGCAAACGTGGTGTTTCAGTCAGAGATTAGTTTATTTTCAACAAACATTCAGAATGTTATAGTCAAATTCTCAAAATATCCCATTTGGATTTGACTATTCTAAATACATGTTTGCAAACCATCTTAAGACAGGCAAAGATTGCCCAGGTGCTGGTAACAGATTATTAGGTGCACTTTAAAACCCAAAGCAAGAAAGGGTTTGACCTCATGCCATAACCTAACCAACCTAAACTACAAGCGACAAAGTTAAAAAATAAATAAATAAAAAATCACCCCAAATGGCCAGAAACGTTGTTGCTGAGTCACAGCTGAAATGTTCAAATGTTCAAGCAAAACCAAAAGATACAATTGGTTGATGCGTCATGGTGTCAGTGGAGTGCTGAAAATGTTGAGTGTCAATTTTTTTGCTTCATATCATTGAATTCCATTAAAAAAAATGACTTGTAGCGAGTTGCTTTTTCACCTGTAGTATGAATCTAAAAATAGGGCAGCTTGTACCTTCTCCATCCTTAGAAAGAACTGGTTCTAGACATGACTTGCAAAAGCGGACTTGCAAAATGAGAGAAAAGTTGTCCAACTTTTGTGTCTGAAGGAAAAGTTATCTCTATAACTATATACGGTCATGTTCTTTGATTTCTCAAGTGCCTTCAATACTATTCAGCCTGCTTTACTATGTGAGAAGCTCCATAACTTCCAGGTGGATCCTTCCACAACCACTTGGATTTCTGACTACCTAACAAACAGACCACAGTTTGTGAGACTGAAAGGTTGTGTGTCTGAGACTGAAAGGTTGTGTGTCTGAGATGGTGAGATTGTGAGATTCCACAAGGAACTGTACTCTCACCATTCCTCTTCACACTTTACACCTCAGACTTCCAGTACAGCTCTGAGTCCTGTCATCTGTAGAAGTACTCTGATGACTCTGCAGTTGTGGGGTGTATCAGTGATGGACAAGAAGCTGAGTACAGGGAACTAGTCAGTCAGTTTGTGAAATGGTGTGGTAACAATCGCCTCATCTTAAATACCAGCAAGACTAAAGAGATGATTGTTGACTTCAGGAGGAGCAAGAATTCAATTCAGTTCAATTCAATTTTATTTGTATAGCGCATATTTACAACAACAAGTCATCTCATAGCGCTTAAGCAGCATAGTCCTGTCTACATCCTGGGAGAGGAGGTGGAGGTGGTGGAGAATTACAAATATCTTGGAGTTCAGCTGGACAACAGACTAGACTGGAAATGCAACACTGACTACATCTACAAGAAAGGTCAGAGCAGACTCTACTTCTTAAGGAAGCTGAGATCATTCAGTGTCTGCACCAAGATGTTGTAGATCTTCTATAAGTCTGTTGTGGAAAGTGCAATCAGCTTTGCAGCCATCTGCTGGGGCAGTAGCATCAGAACCAGAGACTTAAAGAAGCTAAACAAGCTGATCAAGAAAGCTGGTTCTGTGCTGGGGATAACTCTGGAACCACTGGAGCTGATTGTTCAAAAAAGAATGCTGCACAAGATGATGAAGATGATGGAGGATTCTTCTCACCCTCTCCACAACACAGTGAAGAACCAACAGAGTGTGTTTAGTGGGAGGCTGCCTAAGCTTCGCTGTCGAATGGAGAGATACAGGAATTCCTTCCTGCCAACAGCAATCACCTTAAAAAACAAATCCGACTGACTGAATGATTATTATTGTTGTATATAATATATGTTATATTGATTTATTTTTTTTTTTTTTAAGTGAGCTTTTACAAGATTGAATTTCCCTTCTGGGATAAATAAAGTATTTTTCATTCATTTCATTTCATTCATTCATAATTGGTCTGTAGGCCAGTACTCCTTTGTCATCCTTTGTGTCTTTTGTTTGGAGAGGTGACCTCTTTATGCATATCGCCCCTTTTAACGTTGATGATAAATTCATTAATTTTAGTTGCTTTATAAACTCAGACCTTTAATAGCTCTGATGTGTTACATCAAGATTCCTTCTCCTGTTCAAGCCTTTCTGCACATTCAGGCCATATCACACCTATCTGTGTTTGATATACTGAAAAAAAATCCCCCTCAGTCATATATTTGTGTATAAATTTGTTCAGAAGAAATTAAGAACTTAATCTACACTCTGACCAGTTTTTGTACCTTTTCCTGCAATCGAGTGTTGGCTTATGGTCGGCCAAGGCAAATAAAGCCTATGGATGAATTTACCCTCAGGCAGACACATATTTTAAGTATTTTATGTAAACGCTGTTTACATCAGAGATCCATGTCAACTGTATATTAAAAGATAGTATGGACTGCCACACTCATGGGGGCTTCAGGTTCAGCACATACACTTCCTAATTGGCACTGCATTGGTGTTTTTGGAAAAAAGGATTCACATCAAGCCAGCAGACTCAGAGATATTTTGTCTGTACGACATTCTTCCTCCGTACTCACAGTGCAAGTTAATTGCGTCAGTTCTGAGGATATACACAAGTGTTATGCTAATTGCAGACTGTTGCCTTTAGTTGGAGCCTCAAACAGAGAACAAGATGCGAGGTGAGTTGCAGAGGTGTGACAAATTCATTCCTTTCCATCTTCACACCTCAAGGTTTTTCTTTCATTTTCCAAGTAGTTTTCACAACCAGTACATGCTGGCTGAAGTGATGTCATTTGAGACAATTTTTCAGAATTTACTCCTCCTCACTCCTGATGCACTGAAAAGGGGAGGATCAAAGGGGTCAGTAACATTTTGTACTTCCTGACAAACAGGGGTAAATTAACTTGACATAGCAGTCACCTTAAAAGCTAGGAATATGTTTTAACACACCTCAACTCAAAAATCAGTGAATAAAATCAAATGCTCCTCTGTTGTGTTGTTTTCTTTTGATTTTCACATGCATTAGGAGCAGGTGGCAGCAATCACAGAGACAAATACATTGCTGCACAGTCTAAGATTTTATTCAGAGTTTAGTTATTTGTTGTTTGGCCCAAAATTAAACTTCTCGAATTTTTAGAATGTCATGTGTTTTCAGATTTTTTTTTCAATTTCTGTATAATGATTTCATCACCTACATCAACACAGTGCAAAGTAATCGTCCAGACAGTGTTATATAGTAAAAAAAAAAAAAAAAAAGTTAAGTTAAAAGTTTTTTAATTTTGTTTTTTTTCTAAAATGTTAAAACTCTGAACTACACATTTGCCTGCAGCATATGAAGGATCAAGGTTGGGTGATAATTAATTAATATAAGTCAGAGACTTTGTGGCTTGTTACTAGCTGTGAAAAATCAATTGTGCTTATATGCTGTGCAGTAACTAGATGTGAAAATTACCTGTGCTGGGAACATGATGTCGACGGTAACATGTATAATGTAGAGGATCCCCAGACTCATTACTTATTTTCATCACATTCTGAGCCGCTGCTTTAAAACCATGTCTATTGAAGAAATGATAGTAATTTGTGTGAAATATTCATGCAAAAGGAATGACTACAACAGTGTGACGTTCATTCACACAAATGTCTGGTTATGTATGAGTGAGAAATGATGATTAATGGAGGCATAGAAAGTGTGATGACATGGAATGCTTTTTATTAATCAAATCAATTACTCAGGATTTTTTATTTTTCCATGTATGCAATCTGTAGTGATTCACATGTTTGCTTTGACTTTCATCTTGGGTATTGGGTAACACCAGGCAGAATGAGCTCACTTGTGATCACTCTGTGTTACTCTAGTTGTCCCCCACAGCGAGGAGTCTCTCTCGGATCAGCATCATGTCTGAAGGTCTGTTCATCAAATCAGCTGCAATATCTCAGAGATTCCTGACTGGATTTTTATACCATTTGAATTATCAAATGTTTTATTCAACTTGAATAAAACAAGTTGAGGTTTGATGTTAGTATGTTAATTATTATTTTTAAGGTTCTTTCTGGCCTCGCTTGTTGATCTATGTCTGACCTTTTTGAATCACACATCCTTGTATTTAGCTTGAGATGACTTAAAACCTATAGGGGTCAGAGTTTTTATATTTAGGGACAAAAAGCTCCATGCTTACTTGATATTACTTGACTTGTCTCTTTATGTGTTTTACCTTGCATTGGTGGTATTTGCTTGATTTACTAGGTCCTGATCATATTAATGTATTTCATCAGTTTGTGAAAATTAAGCAGTTGATGGGAAGACTAATACTGCTCTCATGTTTGTCGATTAAATGTTAGGTTGCAACCTGCAGCCAGCTAGCTTCACTTAGACTGGAAACAGCTGGAGACGGACAATCTGGGTGTACACAAAGGTAGCATACTCTGCCTAGCACCATCCTTGACTGTCTTCTTCCTCTTTCAGCATGAAAAAAACCTGAGATGATAATTAGTGCGCTGAGCACTGAGCGTCCTCTTTTCTATAAGGGCTCCACTTGTCAATAGTTCCCTCACAATCAATAATTTTAATTTAGTACTTCACATGTTCAATTTTCCCAAAGGCATTTTCATTGCACTGCCAAAGAGATGGTTAGGGACAGTGTGGACTGATTAGTAAAAGATGGTGCCTCAACATTGGTTTAACATCTCATTCCTGAGATGTTGCTCAAAAGGCACATTGTCACTCTACAACATACACATTAGTGTGGAATTTATTTCTGCCGATTCTTTGAGCAGGAAAACACAAAGATACTGCCTTAGTAGAGATCAGCAGCATCTATTTCTGTATTGCTGTGGACTTCTGTGTTGTTCTAATTCAATTTTTACCAGCAGAAGCAGCACCAAAAATGTGATTATCAAGCAGCGTAGGCACCATGTCCAACTCATAACATAATAAGTCGGTGCAGAGACATTGTGTTTACTTTGGTATCACTCTTCTGTCCAACCGAGACCAGAGATGTAACTCCCACAGTGACTAATTTGTGGTGTCTTTTATGGCTGCAGATACAAATCACTTAAATGCATTGCAGACACTGAAGTTGTCCTTCTCTTCCCTACAGGTTTTCAAAGGGTCTTTTGTGCATTCTGGAAATTATTTCATTAGTTTATTTCAGGAAAGTCGGTGTGTTTCTTGTGCACTACTAAATCTAATCAGAGTCAAGGATGCTCAGCAGCTAAACAAACAGAAGCCAGTGCTTCTGATCATATCAAAATGGTTACAATGGCTGCTACAAAGATTAAAAAACATATAAGCACATGTTTTGTGCTTCTGGACTATATATAATTTATGCAGCAATTACAATGTAGATTGTACCAGTATACATGAGAAAGATATACTGTTGCATAAACATACATTTCTCATCACAATGCATTGAAATAAACTAATCAAAGCCATTGTTTTCCATTTGTGCCATAAATGTGATCCATCTTTAGATAATTGCACCATATTATGCAAAAAGTTTTGCATGTGAGTATGTGTAGTGTGATTAAAACATTGGAGTTATTAGACAAATACACCTGCAGCATTACAGTGTTCCAAACGAAACAAATTTACCCTGTTGTTGTCAGGTTGTTTTAATTGTTCTGCTTTAAAAATGGCAGGCTGCTTCCATCCAACCAAGAACTAATGCGGTCTAATGTTGTCTAATTAAAGCCTGAGCCTGTCTCTTTTTGTTTCAGATTTTTTTTTCTAGGAGTGGAGCCACCTGATGGATTTGGCTCTGTATACAAATCCCCCCTGGATAATTTTAATGTGGAATAAAAGCAGTGCTTTTTAGGTTGTGAGCCAGCACTGGATGAATGGAGCTGCTGTCTGTGAGCCACAATGGATGATAGTTTATTGATAAGTCTGGCTGAATAATGGATATATAGATCTATAAAGCCTAAATTCGGAAGTCTGTGACCAAAGAAACATCATCAGACTCTTGGTACGGCAGCTCCATATTGTCAAAAGATATTTTAAATGTAATAAATGACCGATAGCGAGAGACACAGGGGGAACCAGCGTTTATACTACGAAAAATTAAACAGAAGAAGAAGTCGTGCGTGCTTATGGGTAATGACGTTTTTTAACAGCGCGGCTCCCTGACGCTAGCCAGGTGAAAAACTACATATCCCGTGTGTCCTGACTACAGCCGGTTAGTTTGACGGGTGATGCGAGGGTGAGCTTTTATTAGATTTTATTCTTTTTAGGTATTAAATCTCCCGACTGAGTTGCACTTTTTACACAAGACATGTCGCTAATATGTTAATTTCAACAGCTACATGTTTGTTTGTTTGTTTTTTTAAATAAATAGCCGCTGGACAGTGAAACAGGTGAATGGCTTCATCAGTGTGTTAGCTTGGATCAGAACTGCAACTAAATTCACTGCTCGAGGTGGGTAATGGTGTCGTGAAAAGCAGCTGTTTTATATTTGTAATGTAAATCTGCTTTAACTTGTTCTTTATAGTCGGTTGCTAGTTTGTTACCGACACAGCTAGCTAGCTAGAAGTAATGCTATGCTTCTCTACTGCAGCAAATCTTAGCTTTAAGCGGTTTTAGAGATTGATTCACTTTCAGACATCTCGTAGACTTCAACTTGTGGTGCTGTTGAACTGTACTGCATTATGCTAACAGAGGTTTTAGACACACAGACAGACAAGTTATCTAGATAAATACCTACCTTGTCATGCCACCACCGTTGCTTATTTAAAACACACGAAACACCAGAGCATCAATGATTAGCCTCCTAATCAATTGGTAGATTGACAGAAAAACAGTTTGTTATTGATTTTACCCCTAAAAACTGAATGAAAGATTCAAGAGTGTTTATTCGTCACATGCTTTTACAGTATGGGCAGTGAGATGCAAAGTGATTGTTTGTCAAGACTGTGCAATAACAGCAAAACATGATTGAAAATGTTCTTAAAAACATAATCATAAGCAATGTGGTGTAAAGAGATTGTGAAACTAAAGTCCAGTGTACGTTATGCAGGAGCTGCAGTTGTGTGTGCATGTGTATTGTGTTTCTGCAGTAGAACATGTGTGTGCATACATTTATGTTACAGACATATTTACATTGAGCCAGGGTGCTGTTTGAGATGAGGTGCTATGATTTGGATTTAGACTTGAGGTCAGAGTTCACAGTCCTGACAGCATGAGGGAAGGAGCGCTCCCTGGGGCTCTCTGTGTTCGCCTTCATGTTGCAGGCACCAGCCAGAGCACAAATACGGAAATAGTCTGTTGCTGGTGGGGGTCTCCTATGATCCTTTTTGCACTGAACACTCTCCTCCTTGTGTAAATGTCTTGGATAGTGGGGAGCACTTGGCTTATGGGATGTTCCACTGACCGCAGTACTTTCTGCAGGCAAGTTTCTCCATAATTATAATCCCTTCCTGCCTTAAAATCGCTTAGATTAAACTACATACTGTTGCCTCCTGTAGAATATGCAGGTTTATCAAGACCTGGTCTCTCTCTGTCCTCTCAGCCCTCCCAGCTGGCTGCAGCTCAAGCACACCAGCTCACCCATCCATCCATTATCTATACACCACTTAATCCTCACTAGGGTCGCGGGGGGCCTGGAGCCTATCCCAGTGGACTTAGGGCGAAGGCAGGGGACACCCTGGACAGGTCGCCAGTCTATCACAGGGCTACACTTAGAGATGCACAACATAGCACACTCACATTCACACCTACGGACAATTTAGAATCACCAGTTAACCTCAACATGTTTTTGGACTGTGTGGGAACCCACGCTGCACGGGGAGGGGAACCCACGCTGCACGGGGAGAACATGCAAACTCCACGCAGAAAGATCTCAGTGACCTTCTTGCTGCGAGCCAACGGTGCTAACCACAGAGTCACCTTGCAGCCCACACCAGCTCACCTGCAACTTAAATACTCCACACTACTTGATGCTACACAGTGGCAAGTTATAATATTAGAGTAATTCATCAATACATGTTCAATCCAGGCACTTATTTGGAAGAATAAAAACACAAAAAGCACCTTCCTGCAAGTCAACAGGAGTGGCTACTTTGGATTATTATTTGAAATATCCTGGCTGTCTAAATCTGTGTTCACATGACGGTCAATTGTACACTGTAGTTTTCAAGATGGAAATGCTCGGCCATGACGTTAACTGCTTATCTTGCTATATAAACATGTTAACATCTCGGCTTTCACAGGAAGTAGTCTTTAAGGATTTTAAGCAAGCATAATATTTGCTGGGTCCGCTTCTTAGACTTGAGGATTTTAATGATTTCTCTGCCATACATCACAGTCAATTTGCCTTGTGCTTAAAATTTCTCTGTGCTTAATAATCGAGAACGCGTGTTTTTTTTCCAATTCTGCAAAACATAAGTAAAATGTAAACAGTCAGAGCAAAATTGTAGGACTACTGCTAAAATCATTTTCATTAATAATCAATATGCGTGACCAGTTAATCATTTTCTGGTAAGTTAGACTTTATAACATCAGAACACAATAAAAAATGAAAAATGGCTATATTTGTTTCCCAGCGTCATCACTGAGTATGCTTGTTTGGTCCAACTAACAGGTTAAAATGCAAAAATATTCAATATTGGACTGAAGTGAAAAAGAGAAAAGCAGAACATCTTTACATTGGAGAAGCTGGAACCATGATAATGATGAGTTGTTTTTTTTTTAAGTTTCTGATGTGCATTTTATCAGTCAGTTATTTGAAATACTTAACATACATGAATCATTAACATAGTTGCTTTTTCACTTTTTGTTGCCCAGTTAATTATTTCTCCCTTTATCTAATTATTATAAGTGAAGACTCAAGGAAAAATAATTAATTACAACAGATGTACTTTCAGAGCAGAAAAAAAAACAAAAGGCTTATGTGTCTCCTGTTGGTTGTCAAATTTCTGAAACAAATAACTGCAGGCAATAATTATGCACCACTTGCGCATCCTCAGTTCATTTTTTATTTTTTAATATTAATGGATCAGCAGTGAAAATAAAAAAAAATACCAACCATTGGCAGAGAGGCGGTACAAGCCCAGTGGTTGGTTCTGTATCCTTATGACCCTTAGGCACTTACAGTCATGCACCAGCTTTTGGGCGTCTCCATTGATTCCAAACATTTGCAAAATTCAGCATATTGCAACAACACTGTAGGGATCATACTTCTTAAAGATGAGCACTGGGTAATAAATGACTGTTAGGCTGACCCTGATGGATATATAAAATGATAACTGAATAGGAAAAGGGACAACCTGAGGCAGTTCAGCTTTTCAGGGTCAGTATTGGTCGCACTCAGTCTTCCTCAGATGCTGCTTTTCTCAAGATACTAGATGGAGATTGTTTATTGATCAATAATTATGGAGTATCTTAGGTGTTGCATAAAGGCATTCCTCTGAAATGTTTCGTTTTAAAGAAAACACCATTTTTTATTACCCTCTACTCCATCTCCTCTTCGTCGCTTAGCTCAGTGTATGTGTGTAATTCCTCGCTGTCTTTCTGTTTCTTGGATTGTCTTCAAGTGATGGAGTTTCCAGAAGATTTCAACCAGCTTGAACTCCTTAACACACATGGACACCTGATCCCCCGAGGGGTCAGCAGCCTGTGGACTGGAAGCAAGGATGAGGAGGAGGAGGTGGAGGAGGAGGAAGACCACGGTGAGGAATGGTATCTAGGAAAGGAGGAAGCTCTCAAAGATACACCCAAAGAGCTCATGCTGTGGGCAGCAGAAAACAATCGTGTAAGTGCTGTAAGTGCCTGTGGCTCAAACATTAACTTTACCTGTTTGCCTTCACTAACGGTACGCAGGGCTGAAATGATGTCTGTGCTTGAGGTAATTGCTACTAGGTCAATGCATTTAGGTCATTATCTTTAAGTAGTCTTATCCCTCCAGTCTCTTTATCGACAACATTGTCTCTCCTGCTATGTCTCCATGTGTGTTTTCATCTCTCTATATGCTCAGGTTATTTGTGATGAAAAATAGCCTTAAGTTAATGTTAATGAATGCACATAAGTAAGATGATCTATTCTGTAGAGAAATGGTGCTGCCCAGAAGCTCTCGTTCAGTTTTGTTTTTAATATACTGCTCTGACAGCGCTGCAATATAAACAATTATGCTGTTAAAGCTGAGTCATGTATTGTAGAGCTGACAAATTGTTTATAATGTGTAAGGAAGTCATGTTGGAAGTTCTCACTTTATTTTCATCCATAATATTTGTGCAATGGGTTCACTGGCAGGACTGTAGAGTTGTGCTGTTTTTTCAAGTAGACTGGCCGAGCATAGGGCCAGGTGTAATTTGGAATTATTTAGTAATGCTGCTATCAAAGTAGGGCTGTGCCTGAATCAGAGCGGATCTCTCAGGAGGGTTAGCTGGCTACTGTATTGTAGTGTATCATGGTGTTTATGGTTTCTTACACACAGGTATGAGAACACTCCTATTTAACAGCGTCTGAGCACTTAGATTGCAGTACAGCTCATCTACATCAATAAACTCCTGTAACAGCCCAGTCATGTCTCATGTTCCTGCCAAACGTTGTATGCATGATCCCATATGATACTTGTAACCTCTGTTTTACTGAGAATTCTGTGATTCTGGAGAAAGATTGTTAAAATGTAGCTTGTCTGATTCACCAGATGTAGATTTCAGGTATAAACCTGCCATATCCCCTGCAGACTCTGTGACGTTCATTCATATTCAGACATGCACTCTGTTCTGTTAAAGTTTCGTTTGTTGCTTCTATCTTTAAGGAGTCTTTACTCTGCATTTATTAAAAACCTGCAGCTAGAGACAGCAGCAGGATAGGAGAGGTGTGATCATTTACATACCGAGCAACAGCAATAGCTTCATTAATTAGTTATAATATCATTTACTGTTGGTAAAGTAGTAGTTATCACAAATAGACAAAGTTTTCAGTCTTTGGGGAATCATAAATAAACTAGGCTGATAGTTATTTGGACCCGATAAGCTTCTATTAGTTTAGATTTGCTTTGTATTCCATTATTATGCATTACACACTTTATTGTCTAATCTGGCAAATGACAAATCTTGTGTGCAAATCGCAGCTCACTCCCTCACTGTGCAATGTATATCTGCATGAAGCCACGAGGAGCATTAGTAGCAAAGTGACCTTTGTCTGAATGACAGAATACCAGCACTTTACCAGATGGATTAAACTACCAATGTTCCGTATCCCATGTTTGAAAGGGGCTTTAAAGAGTCACATCCGTGTACAAACACTTGATTTTTTTTTAATGCAGAATGCACATAACGAGCAGCTGTAGAGCCATACGGAGATATTTGTTGAACATGAAAAAATCTGTATTGGATCAGAATTGCACACTCCACCTTTAACAGTAGTTTTAATGACTTTTTTTTTTTTTTGCCAATATGTCCACTTTCTCATTTCCTTCCATCAATGCATGAGCAAGGACCCAAAGGAGGGAGATATCCAGTCCCTTGTAAAGTAGCCTGAGAAGCACATAAAAGATTTCATGCACAATATCCTGCTTGCTCAACTCTTCAGAGTTCATGCTTGAAAGCACTGACAAGGTATCAGAGCTGATGATAGCCATTTCTTCCACCCGTTGTAATGCTAAAAACATGTAGGAATTTGGCTCAGTGCACTAAAAGATAGTTTGACGGTCTTTTCTTTTTCGCTGCAACCTTTTTTAAGCTGCAGTGTGGACCCACTCTGAACCATACACAAATAGGAATACCTCGTGTTGGTAGTATCGGTATTTGCTGTCGTCTTCTTTGATGCTCGTTTGGGTTCATCTTTTGTATGATGAATTTCATGTGGGTTTGGCTGATAATGGTACAATAGTGCGTAGTTATAGATGACATAGGCCTATGGGCCATATTATTGTTTACATCAGTAATATTCAGATCAAAGAAAACGTTAAGAGTATCAAAAATCCGACCAAATCTCAGATCCTGACTTTTGGCACTTGAATGTTTTCAGTGTTACACATACTTTACCTACAGAGTACTGAACTTAACAAGCTGCAGTCAAGTAGAGCCGGACTAGTGCAAGCAATTTTGTCGACAGTATCAGCATAATAGGACATCTAATTAAATTTTTCCTTCAGCTGCCACTTTAATAGCCGTATTTAGACGTCTCTCCTGCTCCCAGTCCACACCTGTGAGTGACTTTGTCCGTTCTCTTTTTCCTTCCTTAAAATATTCAGCTATAACTGCTGCACGTGTCGCTGGTTGGGTGTTCGTTAGCTGGATTTGCATACTTGGCCATTACAGGGACAAATCTGTTTATCTTAAAATGTTGAAAATGGTTTTAAATAGGCAAGCATCCCCCAGGGTCAAATACTAAACATCTTTTTTTTTTTAAATGGAGGAGCACATGCATACACACAGGGAATACATGAAAACACAAAGAGGCCTCAGTAATGACTTTTAAACTGTTCTAACTGCTGGGTTGCCATGTCAGGATACTAAATGATCTAATTGTTCATTGAAAATAAATCTAATTATAGTGGCAGATTCACTCGAGGAAAAATGGAGAAAACATGTTATTTGGTTGGTTGGGAGGTAGAGATCAAAGGAAGGTAATTATTGATCACTTAAGCTGCTTGAATAATTACAGCAATTAGGCCTTTCGCCTTTTAGTGCCATGGCAACTTTTTGTCAAATAGATAAGTGAAATAAACCCAGTCACTCATTATTTCTGTGAATATTTGGGCATGACGGATCACACATATATTTAGCATGCAGCACATAGAGCCTGTGTGTAAGAAGAAGAAGCTTTACTGTCATTGTACAAAAAATACAACAAAATTTTGTTTGACATCAACTTTGTAGCAGCTAATATGGTCACAGTAAAAAGAAGTTAAAAGGTGATAGACATAATAAAATAGCAATAAAATAAATACTCTATTAAAAGAGCATTTGTTAGAATAGCGTAAGTGTCTGTAATTACAGTTTCTAGTGCAATAGTTCGTGATTTGGTTTCACCCTGTTAAGTATTACATGTGTTTAAATGTTGTATTGTTGTTTGACCAAAAACCCAAAGAGGCATGAATATAAAAGAGAACAACATTCTAACATTGGAGAAGCTTATGTCAGAGAATGGTTTGAGTTTGGTCGAATAAATGAAATTGCTTAGTTGACTAGTTTCATTCACTGTTCAAATATTATTGCAGCAGATGTGAATGATAATTAGTGCTGCACTTACAGTTGTGCTCATAAGTTTACATGCCCTGGCAGAATTTGTGTTTTTTGGTCATTTTTCAGAGAATATGAATGATTAGAGAAAAACTTTTCTTTCACTCATGGTTAGTGGTTGGGTGAAGTCATTTACTGTCAAACTGTGTTTACTGTTTTTAAACCATAATGACAAGAGAAACTCCCCAAATGACCCTGATCCAAAGTTTACATACCCCATTCTTATGACTTCCCCCAACCACTAACCATGAGTGAAAAAAAAAAGGTTTTCTCTTGTCATTCATATTCTCTGAAAAATGGCCCAAAAAAATCACAAATTCCACCAGGATATGTAAACTTATGAGCACAACTGTATGATGCAAGTGATTTGAAAAACTGAATTTTTCTGCAGTGGCCTTGATAGAAGCTGTGAGTGTTTGGGTTTGCTTTTGCTTTTTTTTTTTTACATTTGTGTTTTCTTTAAAATAGATTAGATTTTCTGCTTTTCTCCCTATAGATTCTTCCTTTCTTCTAAAAAGTAGAGAAGTCATAAAACCATAAACATTTCTTGCTTGGTAGTAAGGCCAAACAACCTACTCTGTTCTCTTTGTGTGTGTGTGTGTGTGTGTGTGTGTGTGTGTGTAAGAAGTTATAATGTTGTTGAACCTAAATAAATGTAAGCCTTTAGTTTAATCCAGAATAAGCCAGAAGCCACTGACTGATTGAGTTCGACTGTAAATGAATGCAGACATAAGAGAGAAGAATGGAAAAATCGTGTGACTTTGCATACTGTTAGACACAGAACGAGTGTGAAGTTATTCAGTCAACGTGGAAATCTTTTGAATGTATGTGGCTATGTAAAGTAATGTATGCTGTGGATAATTAAAGTTAAGGAAGTTGAGGGAAAATTCGTTTTGACCTAATTTAATTACAATTCACAAAACAATAATGGAAAAAAAAATTGCACAGAATACAATAAGAGTAAAAGCTATTTATCTATATGACATATTTTGTGTACAGTGCTCAGACTGACCAGAACTGAGTATTACATTAGATGTTGCACAGATGGTTCTGCTCCAACACTAAGTCAATATGAGCTTTGTGATTATTTCTGACTCCTTGATTTTGAACATTGGTCTAAGACCCACTGCTGTCTTCAAGTAACAGTTGTGTGCTGTACTTGTTTCTTCTTTCTTTTCTTCTTTGGTACGGTTCCTGCAGGATAAGTTGAACTCACTCCAGCTCTGATTATAATGCTGTACAAGGACTCTTCTTTGTACAAGAAGAAGAGACTTATCTTCTCTGAGTGACTTTGCTCATTCAACTTTAATTTGCACTGTGAGAGCTGTCACTCATCTTATTCCAGAATAATTCTTGGTAATATTCTGTTGTTGCTTTTTTTAATCTAACACAATAATTTTCATGCACGTGTATGAATTTTTAAAAATGTTTTTCTTACCTACCACTTTCAGCTCAGTGTCACGTTTGAGTGTTCTGTCACATGCAAATTGCTGTCGTTACACAGCAATTACACTATCCAGCTGTAATTTTTTTGTTATTATGTTTATAATTCTAGTGGAGCATTTTCACATTTTAAAATTGCCTTTTTAATTGATGTAAATACTTAAACTACAGCAGATTATCAAGGAAAACAAATCTCATGAGACGATTACTTTATAATTTTCTGAATATCTGTGGTTTTCTTACAGCTTTCAACAGTCCACAGTTTGTTAATCACAGATCCTTCACTGGTGCACTGCTGTGATGAGGATGGTTACACTCCGCTGCACCGAGCAGCGTACGGCGGCCATGTTGAAGTCGTCTCTGCTCTACTCGCCAGCGGCTCTGAGGTTGACCCTCGCACCATCGACGGCTGGACGCCCCTTCACAGCGCTTGCCGCTGGAGCCGCGTCACTGTGGCCAGTTGCCTCCTGCAGCGTGGAGCCGAACTGAACGCTCAGACGAATGGTGGGCTCACGCCTCTACACCTGGCTGCTTCCTACACAAGCTCTTCAAAAACAGACTCGGCACAGACGTTAGAGCTCCTCCTGTCTCAGAGACACCTGAAGCCGGGGCTCTGCAGCAGCAGTGGGGAGACGGCGGGTGATGTGGCTCGACGCAGTGGCCCTCATCACTTCCTGTTCGAGATGGTAGAAGACTGTGTCAATGTGGCGTCAGTGTCATGAACAAAAACACAGGCCCAAACAGTTGTTTTTGGATTTTTTCTGCATGACAGCATTTGTATTTGATTAATCTGCTTATTTTCTCTGATAATCTATTACTTGTTTTGTCCATGAAAAAGGAGGAAAAAAAGCCCAACATAGCCTGTTGCAATTTCCCATATCCCAAGGAGACCTCAGTGGATGTTTTATACAACCAGCCATCCAAACAAAACCAAAGAAAATACAAAATTACATAAAAGATGCTTTAATGAACAATTATTAGATCAGTTGACTAATCGACTATTTGTTTCAAGTCTAAGGTGGGAAAAAAATTAATTTGGACATATTACACATAAAAAAAGACCACAGCTTGAGCATTGCATTGCACATTACTGTATTTACTTGTGAACCAGACCTTGTTGCAGCAGAATTTGAATAGGTTTGTACAGACTGATTCCCTTGTGTTTTTGTGTCTAAAGCCTTGTGGATGTTCATGGTCACATTTCCTTTTCAATAAATGAATATTGTATCTTTGCAGGAGAAGGAACAATTCATTACAAGGTTGGTGTTTTTTGAAATTGGCATTGTAATTGCTTCTCTCTGCTCTTTCACCATAGACCGTGAGCTCCAGCTAGTGTCTTTCTAAACAGAAATTGGGATTTTTTTTTCATACTGCAAAGAAGCTGTGCTATAATTAATGCTATGTTGATGGGTGCTAGTTTTAAAGGCACTTTGCTGCCCCAAAAGTGACATTTTAATGCAGAAATTTGAAGACTCAGAGTGGAGTAATTGTTATTATATCCAGCCTCTGATTAGAGTACACACTTGGCTGTGAGGATGAGGAATCTCCCTGTTAACTAAAGTTACAGATGAAGCAGGATTATAATCAACAGTAAGGTCCTGATTGCCCTGAGGTTGGTGTATTGGTGTTTTGTAAGGTAAAACTCATATATAACTGCATGTCTCTTTCCTTTATTTTAAACCTTATATAACCATAGAACACGTTCACAGTGACAATACTGATGCAGTGACTTCTGTAGATAATTTGATGAAGATTTTTCTGTACAGAATTCCACTGTATAGTGTGCCAGTAATAGTAAGCAGGCTGTGCAGTGTATTTGCTTAATAACAGGTTTTGCTAGAGGCAGTTCAGGAGACTTTCTAAAGGTGGAAGGAAGCTGTTCTGCAAATCATTGTGACTTGTATGGAGTAATTGTGTACTGCGGAGGAACGCATCTACATAGAGCTGATTACTACTGGGTGAGAAATGTCTAATTAAAATGTCAGCTGTCTTATTTATATCTGATAGGAGAAAAGAAGCTTGAATCAGTTGACTTTCCTGCCAGAGACAAAAGCAGTCATCAAAATTATTCCTATACAGTTACTATTTTAAGACATATTAAGACAGCAGTTTGTTACAATTTGACACGGTTTTTATTTATTTTTTTTATTATGGTCGAACTTCAAGTAAATTTTGTCATTATCAATCAATCCAGATTTTTTTTTTCTTTGTTTTTCATTTGGCCTGTAAAACATAAAAAAATTGTTTTAAAAAAATAAAAATAACAGTCATGGTTATGCCTTTCATTATCTTTTTTTTTTCATTCCAAAAGCCAAGGATATTTATTGTATAATACACAGAAGAGCGGAAAATCCTCCCTATTTAGTTGTTGAGAAGCTGAAGCCTTCAAATCATGTAGTTTTTGCTAGACAAAGCAATTTAATAATCAGTTTTTAAAATGGTTTCAGATGATTTTAAGTATTCAGCTAATTGTGATTTCAAGTGACGAAGTAAACTTGTGGTGTGAACTTGGTAAAGAAGTTTTTATATAAGAAATGGTATAAACAGCACATTTGGCTTGTTGTCTGTGGTAGTTTGTTGCAAGTCCTTTCATGAAAAGCCCAGAAAAACAGGTCACTATCACATCCTTCCCCTGCCCACACAACCAGAGTCACCATAAGATGTGAAAGTAGTGTTTGGGATCGTCATGCCTTCCCTCATGATTGTGAAGCGCTTACAATGTTCTGCTCAGTCAGAGACTTGAGGTTATTCATGGGTCACCAGAGGTGCACAGAAATGATTAGTGAATTCAGCAACAAGAATTTTTTTTTTTTTATCGCTCTGTCCCCTGCTAGGGTCAGTCTTTTTGTAAGATTCTGGGCAGAAAATATATTGCTTGTTCTTCTCTGTGTCCAAGGACTCTATTCATCCATCCATTTTCTTCCACTTGTATGGGGTCGAACTGTGGTGGCAGCAGGCTAACCAAGACATTCTAGACATCCGTCTCTTCAGCAGTGTTTTCCAGTTCCTCCCAGTTGGACATGCCCAGAAAGCTTCCAAAGAAAGGCCCCAATGAAGCATCCTAGCCAGATGCCACAACCACTTCAGCTGGCTTCTTCCTACCTAAAGGACGCTTGATGCCTCATAGTCCAAAGATAAACACTGTATTGACCCAACTGTCAATAGTTGCTCACACAAGGAGTCACAAGGCACAGCAGCCTGTACCTGGAAATATATATATCAGTCCACAAACAAAGCAGACAGAGCAGATTTTTTTTAATCCATTTTTCTCAAGTATCTCTTTGTCATGGCGCAGTGTTTCTGAGAATTGACCCCCTTGTCAAATCCAAACTTATTTCTGTGTAATTCCCAAACCAGAGAAATGGCTAATACCAGCAGGCAGTGTCAGCCAGCAACTAGCACTCAGGCTAAGTATTTGTAACAGCATCAAAAATCAAAGGTCAGGCTTGAAGATTCTTCTCTCGCTGACAGAGAAAAACATTAAGACTATAATAAGTCTGCCCTGCAGGGGAGTTTCATGCCTCCTCTCTTCACAGTTAATAGCAAAGACAACTTTGCAGAAGCGCCTGCTGAGCAGCCACAGGTTTCTTTTATTTAATGTCATTTTAGTTGCATTAGCATAAAAGTCACTGGTATGTAAGGTTTCAAGGGGCAGTCGATCCAAAGTATGTGGAATGATACAAGTTTAAAGAAGCTCTGTGTACTATAATTGAACATAATACTACCTTGTTTCTTAAGAGGTAATGGTTTGTCACCGTGAAACTGTGGCCTGCCCACGTTTCGTTCCTCAACATCGATAGTCATTTCATTTAGGAAAGAAAAGAAAATATTTTACATATATAATGTTATTTAGCACAAAATACCCAAACTAAGATTTAATAGAATCTAGGCAGCTACCCTGCCATTATCACTCAATTCAAGATAACACGGCTGTCTTATTATCATGTGGCCTATAGTTCACACAATAGCCTGTTTAATTGGGTAGCCACAGCAAAACCACATATCAATGTGTAATGTTGTTTGGTACGGGTTGTGTTGTCATTAGCTGCACTAAAGATCAGATGCAGTGTTTGTTGAAGATGTTTTTCAGATACTGCACCAGGAAAAACAATGTTGTCCCGTTGATTATTCTTTTCTACTATGTCTGTTTTGTCTTTTTGTGGTATTGACAGAGGCCCTGTGTTTGTCACCACACATTTTAAGTGTTTCTCTCATGTGTTTGCGCCCCGTCTCCTTCCCCTTTGTCCTTGTGGGCATGTTTTGAGCCCAACACTGTCAGGCTCTGATAGCTCCCAGCTTTTGCTCTAGTGAGTAATGGCAAACATTGAACACTGATTTGTGTTTTGTGTTGGGGGGGGGGTTTCTGTATATTTTGATGTTGAGGTTTCTGTCATTGTCAATATGCACCACACATCCCATGAAAGCATTTTTCCTGATATCGTCAGATGAGCCACATGTTGTCCACTGCAGTTGTGTTCTGAGCAGGCCTCGTGTTTTGATTTTAAACCAGGTGTCGTCCAAGTACACAGATGAATAGTGAGCAGTTACTGCAAGGGATGTCAGGGCTCTGCTCTCTAAACCTTCCATATACAAGCTGGACCCTACCAGAGACACAGTTGAGCCCATGACAAAACCATACTTCTGTTTGAGGAAACCCACCAAATACTGAAAGTAGGTTGTAGTCAGGTCAACGTTGAGTAGGGTTCTGGGGCTGGTTCTGTTGGAGAGGGTCCTGTCCTGTAGCCACGCCCGCCGATAGGGGGGGACAAACGTGTCTGTTGTCCCGGGCCCAGAGTGGGGTGGGGGGCCCAGAACTGGACCCTCATTGAATTATGGATTTTTTTCCCCAAAGAAGGGCTATTAATGGAAAGAAACAGGGCAATATTTGAGTTAGATGTTTTAATTTGTTTTCGTCTGAACTGTCCATATATTAAAGTATACATATATATGTATATTTCTGCATGTGTAGATGATGTTCAATCTTTGAAGAGTTCATGTCTTTTCAGGTTTTCAGGTCAAAATAAGTTCAACTGAAATTAAATTCAGGTGATGCAGGTTGTAAAAACTCAAGGAAACCATCTGAGGTGACTTGAGAGACAAAAAACTGAGTTTTAAA